TTGCAGAAAGCTAAATTTAACGAAAGATTATTTGGTTTTTGTTTTTACTGTTAACTGCAATACAAATATAGACCCTAAATAGAATTTATTTCAACTGAGAGTTTGGCTATAAGCACCCGTACCTTAATTATAAATATTTTATTAGTAAGGAAATAATTAGCAACCACATGCATACCCCCCCCCCCCCTCACCCCCTACAAAAGAGTGAAGAGATAGTAAACAAAACATAAAAAAACTGCAAATAGCTCACAGTCATAATCGTTATCTTTTAATTGCATTGTGATAGAGCTCAGTTCAGTGTCATTGACCAAGTGCTAGTTACATCAAAATGGAGTACCTAGATTATTTGGAGTATAAGAAAATATATACAGTATATCAATAACCCGCCACAGAAAACCTGCAGACTAAGCGAATTTCCAAATAACCTAATAGAGCTTTCAATTAAATTTATTTAAATAACTTTAGGTTTAACAAGCACCTGAAACTACCTACGGTGTAGGTATGCTGCTACAGGGAGGGTAATAAAGAGTGTTTTTAACAAAATATTAACAGCTTTATAAAAAATAAATAAATTTGCCAAGTTTCATAAAAATATATCCATAAACGACCACACTAGAACAGTTAACTTATTCTCCATAAGAATCACATGGGAATTTAAAATTTACAATTTTACCAATAGTCTCTGTAGCCAATAACCGTACAAAACATTTTAAGATATTAATTTGTTTTTATACTCTTTAAAATACTCTTTACTCTTTAAATTACTCTTTAAAATTATAGGGGTTAAAATTGAGAAAAAAACTATTTTTATCCTATACAATTCCGGGTTCCCTTGGTCTGATCATGCTCGTTCGCGAACTCATTAAGGAGAATCGCGCCTAACACTTTCATGCCAAATTTTATCAAAATCAGACAAAAATTACTCACGTTTATGGACGTATATATAATACATTTATATATAGGCTATACATATATAAAATTTTGAACGAACAGTGTTTTTGGCCTCTAGGGACATCAAAATGGAAAAGTTTATCGGTCCCGGAACTAAGTGCTACCTACGGTAATAGATACTTCCCTAGGAAAATTAGATAAAAGAGTGTCATGTAAAAAAAAAATTTAAATTGACAACAATTTTTTCTAAGTACTGTATTACAAGATTTTTCTTACATTTACCTTGGCTTCACACAATCATAACCTCCGCAATTACTTTTTATTATTTTTATTGTCAATACCCCTATATTATACTGGGAAATTACTGTTTAATTTTGAAGCTTTTTATTGCATGAAACCGAGTTTCCGATGTTAATCCTATGTTGCTCTGTACGTATTTATAAGGTTTAGTACTTAAAAGACAACTAGTAGTACTTAAGGACAACTGATTAAATAATTATAATTCGTAAAGTGAAAATAAAGTTAGATCTTAAAAGAATTTAATATAAACAATTACGGTTCTTCAGTCATTGGGATGTAAAACAACGATCTTACAAAACTACATTTTTGAAATGGTACAATGCAGAAACATACACCATAGTCTACTAATTAGCCACCATTGATATACCAAGATAAAATTGTATCCATCTTCAAAAAGTGTTCATCTTTTGTTGTTGTCAACGGTAACTGGTTCTGCAATGGCCGTTGCCAACGTCAAAACATGAATTCCCCGCGATTCCCTGTCCATCTAGCCGCGCTGCAACTTAGGCGCGACTATACTTGATCTACGACCATTTCAACTTAGGCGCGAGCTCCCAAGCCTGGTTTCTGGTCCGGGGACTAAAGTTAGGCGCGTCCAACACTAGGCGCGTACTAGCTGGGCTCGAGCTCCCAAACCGCCCCTTATAACAACAGCTAATTTGCAACCAAAAGGTGAGTGAGCGTTACGAACGAACTTCAACCTGGAGGCGAGTTAGCGTAGCGAACGAGCTAACCCGAAGGCAAGTGAGCGCAGCGAACGAGCTCCAACCTAAAGGTGAGTGAGCGTAGCGAACAAACTTCAACCAGGACGTGATTGAGCCAAGCGAACGAGATAATCTTGAAAATTAAGAAGTTAAACGGGGCAAAGCCCGCGGGTTACAGCTAGTAAGTAAATATATTGAAAATAGGAAAACAATAGGTGATTAGGTTAGGTCCAGGCTAGAAGGATTTGTTTACCTTGTTATATTGGCAGAGACCAGGTTTATGAAACAAAGTATAGTTCAAAACATTATTACTAAATAACTTGGTGAAGGACTACGAACATAAAAATAAATCCTCCATAGTTTGTTTAATAGATAGGGTGGACAAGATTTTCTCTGAAACTTGGTACTCTTAAAATAAAAGGCATGATGGTAAGATTAACACTAATACCGAAACCCCACATAGGCTGACGTTAACCGAAACCCCCGGTCTGTGAGACCCCATTTGAAAAATAATGGACTTTGCTTAGAAACACACAAAACGAAACCCTCGGTCTGTGAGACCCCGCTTTAAAATACACTAACGTTGGGCTTCTGAGACGGATATGTTATGAACAGACGACCTGTCAAGGTCACGGCACCCATGCAAAATGAACAAACGATATATCAATAGGTAGGGGAGGAAAAGGGGGGAAGGTATTGGGGGAATGGAATCTACCAAGTAAACAGTGTTGCCAACATGCGTTTTTGAAAATTCCAATGGGCCTGTCAGACCGGGGTTTCGGTATTAGTGTTTAGAGAATAGTTTCTACAGCTGCGGCCATAAGATATAAGACATGATGATAAGACAAGAAATTAAAAACCGAGTGTATGATGACTCGTCTTAGCCCAGTGTTGAAAATATAAGATCAGGGAGAAAAGAAGTTATAAGGGAAAAATTGCAATTCGATGTATGAGTAATTCTTAACTTCAAATCATGATAATGCAATTATTTTGTTCAAAAGTGAGATCCTATAAAATGATCGCGTACATATAAAATAATTTCATGCTTTTTAAATACAAAGGATAGAAATAAATTGTATTAACTGTATATGGGTTTTGTTTCGGTTGTTTTTTTAGCAAATTACTAATATAGGGAATAAGCTATTACCGTAGGTCTTATGGTAAGACCTAGTCCGATTTACTTTTTTGTTTTGAGGCCCTCAGAGGCCAAAACACCCTCCACATCAAATTCATAAATAAAATGTAAAATTTAAGATTATATCTATTTATGAGTCCGTTAGCGTTATCACTCAAGCAAAAATGATCCGATTTTGATGAAATTTGGTACAAACGTATCAATTTACGTTTATTCGAACGAGTTGGCGAACCAGCATGATCAGACTATGGGAATAGGGGTTTATGGGAGTTTTTATGGGGTAAAAGTTGGTTATTCCCATTTCCCCACTAAAACCACAAAATATTACAATTTCTTTCCAAACCATTTTGTAGAGTTTAAAAAAATATTTTGGGGGGCTCACGACCCCCCTGGGACCGCCCTTGAGAGAGCTTAAGTCTTTTCTCAAAAACAGTACTTTACTTTGTCTTCAACCAGTTCCAGTTCCTGGCTCTGATGTTTTTGTCTACTGCAATATAAAGAATGGTAGACAACGATTGTATATCCATCCCTAAATGTTTACGCAGGGAATCATTTAATTCAATCCACAACTTAAGTCACCCTGGGATAAAATCCATGAATAAAATGTTAACTTCAAGATATGTGTTGGTTGGCCTTCAATAATTCACGATTGTAAAGAGTGAACCTTGTCCTGTCGAGAGTGTCAACGCTAAAAAATTACTCGATTCAAACACCTATCAACGAGTTCCCTTTGCCAAATTGATATAGATTTGCACATACTGTATTCATGTGGATATAATCGGCTCATTGCCCCAAGTTGGAAATCTTCACTACTGTCTTACAGTAGTAGATAGGCTCACAAGATGGCTGGAAACACACCCCTTGCAAAGTATCTCTGCCGAAGAAGTCTCGTCAGCTCTTTGCAATTGTTGGATATCAAGGTATGGTGTTCCCTTGCGAATAACAGACCAGGGAAAAAATTTTAATCTGCACTCTTTGCTGAGTTGGGAAATTTGTGTTGATTTTCAAGATTAAGGACAAAAGTTACCACCCATGCGCAAATGGCATGGTGGAACGTTACCACAGACAACTCAAGTCGGACATCATGTGCCACTCCGCCTCGACATAGGTCGAATCCTTACCCACAGTGCTTCTTGGAATAAGAAATGCTTTCCGTGTGGATCGAACACCTCATCTGCAGAAATGGTTTTTGGATTACGCCTCCCCCTGGCGAGTATTTTATGCCAACAACCAAGCCGGCACCCCTAGAGGATCCGACTAATTTTGTGTCTCGATTACTACTCAAGATTTCCCCAATAAAACCAACAAATATCAAGAGACATGGCATCAACCGAAGCTTCATTTTTCGTGATTTGGACACATGTTCGCACGTTTTTCTGAGGGTGGATGCTATGAGTAAATCTTTACAATATCCATACACTGGACCTAATCCAGTGCATTCATACATTACGCAACATTAATTAAGAAGATATGATTTTAGACAGTAATATCAATGAGTATACTTGTATAAGAGTGGTCACACAATGCTATTAGTTGTTATCGATTTTAACGACATAGTTCAGGCCGCTGACGCTTGGGTCGCGGTAGTCTGTCGGTAGTGCAGTGCGGCTCTGAGGACTTTTTAATCATTTAGTATTAAAAAAGTATTATAAAACAACAAAACTAGAAACAAACAAACAAATTTCCATTCTACAACATACAAAAAACACAACATAAATTACGTTCTACAACATAAAATGAAAGCAATAATAAAAAAACAACCAAACTGCCTTACCGACATGCCCAAGGTAGAGTAGTTCGGGCCGCTGACGCAACCCTGCAACAGCGCTGTTCAGGTAACGATAACCTCCATTGAGCTAATCCATCAGGAAGAGAATGGGAGAGCGTAAAAGTTGTAAAGTTTTTTTTTATAAACACTATCCTCAACCCAAGGAGTACACATTAGTAAGATAACAATCATCTGTACCAACCTGTCTGCTGGTGGCACAGTCCAAATGTGATGCAAAGTCGGACTGTTGAGCAGACTATCAGTGTGTTCTAGCCTCAGCAATCCCGTCCAGTGGAACACAAACATGATGTGTTCCATACTCAAGTGGCTTGTACTGCTCTCAGACAACTGCCTCAACGGATTCTTCTCTGACAGTTCACTGCATTCGCTCACTCTGGAAACAAGCAAAGTTGCTCTACAGGCAGTTCACATTCAGTTTGAAAAATTGTACTGGCTTGAAAACAATAAGCAATAAAACTGCTTGGTTTTGAAAACCACATTCCAAATCTTTTGTTTAATCTAAGCCTGTTGTTTGTAGACTGTATAATGCTGGCGACCTCTTTTAACGTTGCATTTGCCCGAATGCATAGACTATAGATCTGTGTGTGGACCGTATCCAGTGATGAATAAATAAAGAAAAATGTCTTTATTAAGCGTTTCTCTGGTACACCAGCTTTTCAGAACAACTTTTGTCACTATGCTAAATATCTTATTCTACTATTTGGCCATTATACACTTAGACAATAATTAAAATTTTTTTTTAAACATATCTTTAAGTTTTTTTTTAAATGTTTTGCTAGATGTAACAACCTTCACACCGTCGGGTAGAACATTGTACAATGAGGGATCAAAATATGAGAAGCTCTTCCTCCCAAGCTATAGAGAAACTCTTGGTAGGTGAAGTCTCCCACCATGACGTGTCCTGCGCTGGGAAACCTCGTCGCGAAGAGAAAGCCTCTCGCGTAAATAGTCGGGTTTACAAAAAGACAAAACTCATGTTAGCGGATTTTTATCCCCCTGGAATTTTACACCCTGCGCAGAACTGACGTCACAAACCAGGGGGTAAAATTACAGCCGCGAACTTTTGAGTTTCACAACATCAGTTCGATAGATTAAAGGCAGAATTAAATGTATCTTTTCACGGTTGTGAATTTAATCAGAACATATCAAATTATAAAAACCTAGAGTGTACGGGCTGGAATTTCACCCCCGGACTCTTACCCCATTCATGAGGTGGGTGAGCTCAAAATGTACGGCACGGATTTTTACGCCCGGAAGTTTACCCCCCGGATTTTTACCCCCGGAATTTTACTCGTTGGCTATATATATATAGAAATCAGTGAGAATGATTAATTTTCTTCTTTCAGTTTTAATTTAATAGTAATTTTATTATTAAGTAGCTTATCTTAGTTTATGTAACCTTAACTAATCAAACCGGTTTTGAATTTTAATTTTAATATTCAAGGTTATGGATTCAATTTTTGGGGCCAACTGTTAGTCAATATGTATATACAAACGTTTGGGTTTCCTTGCAGTAGTCAACACAACGATTGGTCGAATACTTTGTAGCGGATGCCTTCAACTACATTTTACAACTGGTATTTTGATGACCTTTCTTTCTCAGTACAAACCATAAATAGCTTGCCAGTAGTGACGCACTTTTGTCGTCTTCCTGAGAGAAATAACCCTGAGCGCAGGGCTGCCACTATCACAAGCTACAAGCTACATTTCTTCCTCTTCAAAATGACAAATTATATGACTAGTAATAATAACTTACACTGTATGTAATTCGTATTTTCCGTACGATCGTCTAGCAACTGTTGGCCATTTGTTATAAATTTCAAAAACAGCTATTTTCATAAAATCGTACCGGTTGTCCAATCAATATATCGTTCTAAATATCACTACCACAATGAAGATAAAACCAATGGCTATCCACTGGTACCACCCGCAACATCCCAAGACGAAAATTACCCAAGCAGGGTAATGCCAAACAAGTCGTGTTTTGTCAGTTCCCAAGTGTCGGCTGCAAAAGTCGTGCTGCGCCAGAAATTTATTTGGCTGCACTTTACTTGACGTCCTACAGTCATTCGAATGAAAATATCGATCGATATATCGATTAATCGATAGCTTCATTCGATATATCAATTGGTTAGTTAGGTAAGGTTAACCTAACCTAACTAACCAAACAATATATCGAATGAAACAATCGAATGAAAATATCGAATCGAAAAAAACAATCGAATGAGTGTAGGACGTCAAGTAAAGTGCAGCCATTTATTTGATTTCTAATATCGTGACATTGTTATATACCAGCTACAGGGTTTGTTTATGTAATAAAATGAAAGTTCAGAATGTGATCTTTCGAATGGTATATTATATATACCATAAAACAAAATATATAAATAAATATATGTTTTCATATATATAAAAATATATGAAAACAATATATATATATATTGTTTTCATCTGAGTTAATTATAGGTGTTTTTTTACTGTTAAAATGATTTTGGCCCATGCCATCGCCTTACGATCGTGGCCATTCTAAGCATCAATGGCGAACGATCGTCCCGCGATCGTTGGCCACTGCTAGGGTTAAATTAAAACTGAAAGAAGAAAATGAATCATTCTCGATAATTTCTATATCCGGCCAGGGGGTAAAAATCCGGGCCGTACATCAACACATGTCTAAACGCTAGTTATATAGAATTGATCATGCTCTGTCTATTTTCATTAGACTTCCAAATCCGCGGGGGGAAAATTTCGCCCACAAACAAACTCTAGGAGCACTCAGGCTACTACGTCATAGTGACGTCAGCTTTGCCCAGGGGTTGAAATTCCAGGGAGATAAAATTCCGGCGACCCGAAGGCCTCTCGCGTAAATAGTCGGGCTTACAAAGAGACAACACTCTGTGGGTCATGCAGCATGTCAACAACCAGCACATGGCTTCAACGGGAAGCAGACTAGCTACTTCTCAAAAGGGAGAGACATGATCAAATTTGTTTAAAACTGAAAATGAAACGGATTGTGGAGTTTTGCAGACGTTGCAACCGATACATTCTTCCCGAGAAATGCTGTTGCCATATGCAGGGAAGCAGTAGTAAAATACTGACAGTATTAATGACTGCACGAGCTTAAGTTTTGCAGCCTCAGGCAACAAGCCTCTGAACGAACCTATACAAACCTCTTAGTCTCCCTAAGGCTCGCTGGGAAACAAAGGTGACATGATCTGAAAAATTCAGGTGTCTGTCAATCGCGACGCCAAGAGTCTTTGCCTTCTCACACACTACCACACTCCGGCCGTCGAGACAGACAGACACTCCAGCATCTCTCAAGGTCTGCACTTGGTCCAGAGGAGCTGAATGACAGATAGTGCACTTATCAGGGTCCAGTTTGAGCCCATTGACAAGCAAGGGAGAGTTGGTACAGTACAAGGGTGAAGAGTACTGATAATAAGTAGTGGCAAGTACCAGGATCCGAACCCAAAGCATCGTTGCCTTTGGCCCAAAGCCCAGGGCCCTACAGACTGAGCCACCAACTTACCAATTCCTAAATTTGGATTTCCTCTATTCAGAAAGAGGATGACAGATAATTTCTAATTTAGCCTAGATGTTATAATTACATTTTTGGAGTTTAGCAGCCCACTCTGAAATGTCAAGTTTGTTTTTATGCAATATATTTTGGTTTAAAAATGTGGTTTATAATTTAGCTTACATAACACAATTCAGTAAAGATTACGAATAGATTGGTATTTTATTAAGCTATTGTTATGTGCATTGGTGCTGAAAGAGGATGTAAAATAGTTATTTATTAAAGCTACCTGAGTTTTAGTTTAAATTAAATTCATTTGAGTTTAGAAAATCTGGGAGCATTCATTGACTTGTTTCAGTTATAATACCTAAGTAATTTTTAAGTCACTTGATGGATTATTGTAGTTTTTAAATTTATTAATCCTTACTTCATTAAAATGAAATAAATATAAGAATACATTTCCGTACAATGTTGGTGCTTCCGGTTTAACAGTCATGGTGAACTCACACAATTATTGACACTGGTAGCAACTGGTATTAGATTAATCCTAGTACAAAACAATATGTATATTGAATAATGTGATTTGAATCTGAATAAGTCACATAACCTTTATAAATTACTCAAGAAGATCAAAATCTCATTTGAGTAATACCATTGACTATATTTTCCATTCCACTTAAGATTCTCAAACGCCATCACTCCTTCTCTGCCTGGCTACGGATGTCACTATAACAATACAATACAATACAATATTCTTTATTGTTAATTCGTCAAGAATTACAATAGTGTCAATACAATAGTGAATTGTACATGTTAATTTTCATAAAATTCCTTTATTGAGTAGAAGGGTCTTGCGATTAGCCACTTCTTCAACTCCTGGTGTAGCTTGTTGCCAGTCAGGTCTCTCAGGTAGTCAGGTAGATGGTTCCTCAGCTTGCAGCCGGTGTAGGAAGGTTTTTTTCTCCCAAAGAGTTGTTCGGTGAACTGGTAGTGCAAATTTGGAGCCATGACGGGTGTTGTAGTGGTGCAGGTCTCGGTTTCTTGGGGGGTTTATTTCATTCACATACTTTATAGATTCAAGTATGTAGAGAGACACCATTGTGAGGATTCCTAGGTTTGCGAATGCTAGTCTGCAAGTCTGTGGTGGGACAAGGTTGGCGAGGGCTCTTATGGCTTTCTTTTGAAGGACAAGAATTCGATTCATATTTTTTGTTGAAGTTCCTCCCCACACTGTCAAGCCATATCTAAGATGCGACTCTACCAGTGCGAAGTAAGCTGTTTTGGCCACGGAGAGTCCGCCTATGTAGTTTATTCTTCTGACGACATATATTCCAGTACTTATTTTTTTGCTTAAGTGGTTGATGTGCTCTTTCCATGTTAGTTTGTTATCAAGGATAACACCGAGAAATTTTGTGTGGTTTTCTATTGTTACATCCTCTAATACTACCTATGTCCTAAAGGACTATGTCTTTTTTCTTACTGAAATTCAGAGTTGTAGTTTTTGTGGGGTTTATTGCTAAGTCATTGTTCTTTGAGTAGAGGATAGCTTTATTTAGGATCGATTTTGAATTAAGGTAAAGGTTTTGGGCTGTGTTGTCCTTGATCAGAATAGTTGTGTCATCTGCATACATGATTGCAACAGCATTTTCACTCTCAATTTGTTTGGGGAGGTCATTAGTCAATAAGATGAATAGAATCGGGCCTAATACAGAGCCTTGTGGAACTCCTCTCGTCAGCTTGCTTTTTGAAGATTTGAAACTTTCTGTGACTTCATTTGATGAGTTTTTCAGTTCCACGACTTGTGAACGTCCCGTTAGGTAGCTTTTGAACCATTCTAGCGCAGAGTTTCTTATACCGAGTCT